TTAGTAGAATGCTTGCCGATCAAGTGGGAGGCACTGAGTTCAATCCCTAATACTGCCAAAAAAAACCTACATCATTATACTTTTGTATAATACACAGGGACTCCACAATTTTGCAAAAGTTCTTTTTCCACATTTTGTATCCTGGACTGTTGAATTATCATATCCTAAGCCCTCTAAATGGGCTTTCATACCTGGTTTCGTCAGATAATAGTAATTAGCTGATATTGGTATATAAATTATTGGTATAGGTCATTCTGCTTCATCTGAGATGATCAGAGGCAGATATATCTGAGTTGTAGTCTATGACCCTGAAGATGAGAATTCTATGTCAGTTATAGATGGCATCTGAGTCAGAAACCACTGTTCTTGTTCATGTGGCATGGTTATTTACATCTACTGTCTTGGGTTGGGTTTTCATTGTTACTGTTTTTGAGGTTTAGGTTTAACTTATAATTTGTCATCCAATCCTTCTTACTGGGACATCCAGCATAAGTAAGCAGTTTACCAATCACACCAAGATCTACCCCCTACCTAATTATTATGCAGGCAAAAGTTGGTTGCAGTGAGACCTTTGGAAAGTTTTGTTGTCATTTGCTGATCCTGAAATAAGTGATAAAAAGATGGCCCATCTCTGGAAGTAAGAAGTAAAATTCTTCAGACCAAAGAGTCCTTCCTTTGTGTTGTTTTTGTTTCTAAATCTTATCTCTAATGTTTAATTTGTCGAAAAAAAAAAGACATCAAATTATTGGTTTGCGATCCCATTTTCTTTACTGTACTCAGCCTACATAAGATGTGGGCCTAGCACATTGCTTATGACTGCAAGGAATCTAGTGCATTTTTATTGAAATGATGTGAATAAAAATGAAACAGAATATTTTAGGAACTTTAAATTTTTAGAAGCATTAATACAGAGAGAACTACCTGTGTAAGAGATATGATGTGTTACATTTAATGTACTTATGTATGAATATAGCACCATGTGGTATGCCAATGTAGAATTGTACAAGTTATGAGCTACTTCAGCATACCTGGATGGGAGGGAAAACATGGTGCAGTTTTTAGAATCCACTCTGGAGAAAAGACTTTGCCACTTACAAGCTGCATAGTGTTTGAAAGATTAACTTCTATGTATCTGTTTCTATCCATAACAAAAAAGTAATAGTAATTTTGATATGAAGCTGTGAAAAACAAGAGCTTAAAACTGCTCCAAACACTCAAGAATTGACTATAGTTTTGCTTCTTTTATTGTTATTATTACTGATTGAACTTCTCATGTACAGATCATTTTTATACTCAAAGATTCAAATTGTGACTTGACAATACCTTGCTTATTTATGTAATATCAATTCAATTGTTGCACTTTAGTAATAGTTTAAGGATGAGAATAGGAATAGGTAGGCCAATTAATTCACATGGGAGGAATCAAATGACTTAATTTGTAAACTGTAGGCTTGACCCAGTAGGGCTCAGCATTATTTCATTTTAAAACAGAAAATTTGTATTTATCATGAGAAAAAAACAATTGGATTTCCCAAATGTTGATTTATTAATTGGGAGTTCACCTAATGTGTAAAAACAAAATATGACATTTCAGAGTTATTAGATGATTTAAATGTTTGATATTTATATAAATGTTCTTTGCCAAAAATATTTGATACTGTAACATAAAAGCCTCCTACATAAAATTTCTAAAAGGAGATTATATGCTTTTTAACTATTTACAGAAAGAATTTCTAGACTCTTATATTGATATTTAAGTGCTATCTCTCTGCTGTTTGATAGAGTGTCTTTATGAAATTTTAAATCTGTTTGCACTCAGAATCAAGTCAACCAATACATGATGTTAATGAATTCTATAATATAGTAGACTTGTGTCTGGCTTTTAAATCTTAAGAGACTAATTGCTGTTATATGACATGTTATGACATTTCTAGCCCATATACTGTTTTGTTTTGGACTAAGCCTCAAAAATAGCCATGTCTCTCCACATAGTACATACATCACAACACATAATGTTTCAGGTTACTTCATTACCATCGTTTATTGGTGCATATGTGTATGTTCATTCTCTTATATGTTAATCAGGTAACTGTTTTCTATTTTTAAAATGCACTGACTATTTTTTTTTTAGTTCTATTTGCTTACCCTAAAGGTTGACATGCAGAACAGGTGTGAAATTGAGAGATCAGCCATTTCAAAGGGCATGGCAATGACTGGGAAGATAGAGTTTCTTACACTTTATACCTTGTGATGTTTGTTGATTTTTAAACTACTGAGTTACTTTATCTGAAAACATGTCTTGTTCTATTAATTTTCACCCTAGTCAGTGAATTAAGATGCACATTATGATTCTTTCAATGTATAATAGGTATATTATTTTCCATGAAATAGAATTAAGCAAATGTTTCATGTACTAAGAAGAATTTATAACTATGAAAAATCAATTTATTTGTTAATAGAAATGGAAAGGGTTGTTTCTCTCCTTCTACATCCAAAGGCATCATCACTCTCTCTTGCTTTTCCACATTCTCTTTGCTTTTTCAGCTTATCTTCAGGAGTTTATTAAAACATCCTAGGTCTGATTTGGTTAAGCATATTTAGTTTTAAAATCAGACCTCAGCCAATCCTGTCTGCATTTCAGGGACAGGAAAGAAAGAAGTCATCACTGTAGCTCAATTCTATCCACAAGTATTTTCTGAGGATTCCTACAAATTAGACCAAAGAGGGAGAAAAACCTGTCCCTGTCCTGAACAAGCAGACAATTCAGTTAGGTTAAGTAGTAAAATGCCCAGTGCATGCAAAAAGATTAATGTCATGAGAGATATGAAAATGGAAAGACCCTACAAACTGAATTAGTAGAATATTAGAAAAGAATAGAGACTTGTACTGTGCATAGAAAAATGTGCAGAACTGGATAGGAAGAGGGCAGCAGAGATGACTGAAGGTGTCCTCTAGGCAGAGGAATGTGCACATGCAAAGTCACAGAGAAACAGACAAACCTGGCATGTAAGGGGGTCACTGTGATTTGCTTGATTGACAGAGGACTTAAGGCAGAGGATAGTGGGAAATAAGTTGGATGGTTTAAGTTGGGAGACAATACGAAAGTGAAAGATATACCAATTTCAACCAAGAGTAGAAATTTAATTAGGCATTGCAATGTGTTACAAAATCAGGTCTTGGAGGCTTCACAGCCAAATAAAAATGATTGTTCTGTGATCCACTACTGATTTACCCTTGCCTACTCTAAATTTATTTTCAGGGATATAAAGAATTGGATATATTAGAGAAAGATTTGGGCTTTTAAATTAAAATTTCACAAGATGTATTGTTATATATTTTTAAAAATGAATATATTATGCTTGCTTTTAACAAATATAGAAATGATACAAATTAAAAATCCTGTACTTTTTAAAGACTTGTTTGTTTAATAAGGTTTTAATGTACTACAATAAGGCATTTGTTGTAAAATGTGCACATTTAGAATTAAGTTGAAAACACAGTGAATAGTTAATTTACTGTTTACAGAGGTTTGAGCAAAGTGATGTGAAATTAATGTTCAAATCTATTTTTAAAAGATGAAAAGTAAATTCTGTTGCTAAGATTTTTTTATTGTAAATTTCATGAACACATAAAAAAGCAAATAAATGTAAATCAAATAAATGAAAGTAAACTTTCTAGCTGTTCTCTTCATACAAGTACACAATTGTGAAATTGCCTGGAGAAGATGGCTCAAGCAGACCTTGTTGCAGAACTAAAGTCAAAGTTATTCCCCAGATCCATGGGAACTGAGTAAGACAGGATTCGCTTAACAAAGAAGGTCCTTATTGCATAGTGTAGTTCCATAGCCACTCAGTGAAAATTTAAAGAAAATCAGCTATCATAATAGAAACCAGTAGATGGTCCTGCCTGCAGTTTTGCTAGTTTTACAAGATTTTATTGTTTTGTTTACTTTTTAAGTTTATTTATGTGAAAAAAGAATTTAATAAAGAAGATAACAGGCCTGGTGATACAAAATAATATTCATAACTAGAAAAATATTTAGAAAGCACTACAAATGCTTTTGGGGTAAAATAAAAATAGTTATTTCCCCAAATTTGGTCTGGATATTGTTAACTTTTACATTTAACCAGAAGACAGACTTAGTATGAAAATGAAAAAATATACTGTTTATCTCACAAAATGGTGACAAATATATGGATGTAGATAATCTGTGAAATAATTCACTACTGAAGTACTGGAGCTCACCTGGAAACCATGTCTCCATTAACCTGATGTTCTTCCATGATGAAGGGTGAGTGTCATCTCATTGATTTACTTCCTCTTTGTCAAGAAATCTGTTGTGATATTGGTGCCTATACATATATGGTTTTTAGAGACAATTGTTTTTATACCTATACTTGCTCAACTTGCCAGTTAATTACTAGAATTTTATTTCTAATAGAAGTCTAGCAAGACAGAGGGTGATGGTTATTATATCACCTTTTCACTCAATATATGAAGAAAATGTATAAAGAACCTCTGGGTTAACTCTCTGCCACACCCTCACTGGCCCTTAACCAATACTTGGCAAGATGCAGGCAGCTATGCTTCAAAAATTACCTTACCATGATGATTTACAGCAAAATCTTTGTCACAGGCTGCCAGCTTTTCCTAAGGTCCACCAGTCTTGTTCAACATAATAATGAGACCAAAATTGGTTGCAAATGTCTATCTCTCCATCTATCAATAGTGTCACAAATTCTTATGACTTATTTCAAGTTCTTTTTTTTTTTTTTAGATTTATTTATTTATTTTTTTATTATTCATATGTGCATACAAGGCTTGGGTCATTTCTCCCCCCTGCCCCCACCCCCTCCCTTACCACCCACTCCGACCCCTTCCTCTCCCCACTACTCCGTCCATACCCAGCAGAAAATATTTTGCCCTTATTTCTAATTTTGTTGTAGAGAGAGTATAAGCCATAATAGGAAGGAACAAGGGTTTTTGCTGGTTGAGATAAGGATAGCTATACAGGGAGTTGACTCAGATTAATTTCCTGTGCATGTGTGTTACCTTCTAGGTTAATTCTTTTTGATCTCACCTTTTCTCTAGTTCCTGGTCAGTTTAGTCATTTAGGATTTCTGTATTGCATGCAAAGACATACAAAGATGAGTATTTAAAATCCTTTGGAACTTCATATTGTTTTATAATAAATGTATGAGAAAGTCTGATAAATTAATGCTATGAAAAGTCAAATAATAGAGATAAAAGAGATTATGTTATCTTTTTAAGGGAAGAATTCCCATTCTGGCACCTGTGCTTATACAGTCATACAGTGCTAATTGCATTAATGAAATACGACATATTGACTAAAACTCTTCAAATGTAGAACTTAAAGACCAAGCTCTGAAGAACTGAAGAAATGCCAATGCTAACTCCTTTGTAATTTAGACCGGTCAACAAAATTATCAAGACAGAAATTTTAGAGATAATTTCTAGGCACCGCATAGAGTATTCTACTTGGCTCTCTTAAACAATCAAATATTTGCCCTAAGTTCTACTTCAGGATGTTTATATTTGGTCAACTAAAGTGTTGAATTCATGCATTCATTTTCAATGGGGTTTAAGAGTAGCATGCAAACAGGGGATTGGGAAAAAGGTTATGTATCTAACGAAAATTAAGGAAATCATTTACTACCAGAGGAAAGTCCACTTATATGATTCATTCTTCTTTTACCTTTTCATAGATGTATATATCCTAGATGTGAGAGATAATAATATGCTTGTTTTACTTGTTGAATTTGTCATTACAGGTAAATGAAAAGATTACCTTCTTAAAGGATCAATGTTACATATTTTATGAAAGAAATTCTCTTGAAAAAGAATCATTTTAAAAGGCTTCTTGTGTGGGACATTTTTCCATACTCTTAGCAAACTAAAGAGTGTCACACTATATTTCTATACCTAGGACTAGCTATACAGAGAATCAAAGGAACTGCTCTGCCATAGAACAGAGAACAGGACTTTGCATATTACAAGCCACCTAATAAATAATTGTTGAAACAAATATTTCTAATATCCTTATGATCTAAAGTGATTAATTCTATTATTTCACACCTTTATCCATACATAATTATTGCATTCAAAGTCTCTGCTATCCATGATATTCATTTTTTCTTCAGTAGGTTTCTACATATACCTATTGCCTACTTTAAAGTTTGAGTTTTCATCTCTCAATCTGATAATTATATAAGAAGTATCACTGAAGACTAGGTGTTTGTACTCTAAGTGCACCTTGGAGCATAATTCATTGTTTTACCATGAGAAAAGATTAAAAATTTGTTTGATGGCAAAATGTTACCACATAGAAAAATAGTTCATTTGAATACTTTTTTTATTATTTTCACTTAATGTCTTATGCTTTATAGGTACAAAGTCATTCTGAAGTGATACTTGTGGAACTTTTAATTTAAATTTTCAAGTCTGAATAATAGTTGGCATTGAAATTATTCAGCTGTGTTACGGTTTCTCTTCATAAGAGAAAAACATTGCTTCAACACAGGCTATCCACAAAATTTTGTAGAATGGAAAGATAATTTCCCAGTTGTTTCAGTCTTTGTCAAATTTGGCTTATGAATGTCCTGATTTTGTAGGTATAATGGAGATATAAGTTGTATGTGTATAAATTATAATTCAAGTGAACAGAATGTATTTCTTTAAGTTAAGTTTACATATTTCAGTATACATGGATATTTTCCTAAGTGTATGAAGTAGAGGTTGAAATATTTGCTCTATCAATATACACTGATACAGTACAAAATACAAATTTCATGGTCAATTCTAAAGGATGAAAAAAATCATCTGCCATTGTCCGTGTTTTATCTATTTTTAAAAACTGTATGGAGGGGGAAGTGCTCTCAGGGAAAAAAAAATGAAGCTTTACTGCAGAAGAAATGAACGCAAGAAATAGCACTTTAAGTAGTGAAGAGACATGAAGCATTGCAACTTCATAGCTTGCTAAGGAGCAACAGCTGTACCTAATTTCAACTTGACGTGCTTCAGATCTTATATTCATATAGGTATTTAATGATCCAAACATAATGGTCCTATATAGAATAATTACTTATATGAAGGAGCAAACTCCATACGCATTCCTTTTTAAATGATCCTTCAAGAGAAAAACTGCACTGGCTCTTTGAACAATGAACAGTCTCTTTCACCAATCCAAATGTTTGGGGCTAAAAAGCTTATCTTTCAAGAGAAAACAATAGTAATGCCAGGGTTACTTCTTTTTGACTGACTCTTTTTGTCTCCCCCCTGCCCTGTATAGCCAGTACAATGAAATCAGGTAGAACACCAAGCCTATCATTAAGTCATAATGGTAGATGGTTATAAGAAATATCAGAAACAACAGGAAATAAGGTATTTTAGAGTTGCTGTATTTTGAAATCAGAGAATCATTGATTTGAGCTTGATTTTCCTGGATAGGGACACTAGCAGAAGCAGAGCTCTCAGATTCCTTGTCACCTGAAGAACATTGTGACTGTCCAGAGTTTATTAATCCTTTATTTTCATGCCTTGTTTCATCCATTTGATCAAGAGGTTCACTGATTAAAATCATTGGTCTTACAGATTTTTCCACACTGCATTCTTCTGGTTGGGAAATCTGACCCATGCATCTTTCTTTACTACTTCCTAGTGTCATTATTTCTGAACTTTTGGAAACATCCTCCAGTTCAGACCCAGAATGATCCTGGACTTCATTTGTGGGATTACAGTTATATTCTGATTTGGTAGGAATAATTGTACTCTCCACTGCAATTGCCTGTTTGTAAGATGGCACTGAAGTTTCAGTATGGTGACTGGAAACATGAGAACCATTCTGAGACGCTCTGTTAGCGTCTGAGTTAAAAGCAAAAAGAGCAACAGCATCCAAGTCTGTTTTCCTTGACAATTCTTGGAGCTGCCCCTGATCTCTATTTTCTGGGACTATTATTTTGCCTGCTGATAGCACTTCAAAATGTAAATCCAGTTTTGATGTTGCTTTTTGATTGCCTGTAATGATCTGTGAAGATTCTTCTATCGATGTTCCATTTCCAATGCCATGTTTCTCCCTGTCATGTGTCTTCCCAGGATTGCACATAGACGTGGCTTTCTCCTCCATTTCATCTACATGTACATTACAAACACCTAAACATGACTCCTTTTCAAAATCATTGTCATAGATTACATCTGCTGTAGCTCGTTGACAAAGGGTATAATGTGAATCATCATTTCTCCCTTCATGTGGATCAAAAGCTGCTTCTTTTACCTCGATGGGCTTGTCACTTCGTGCTGTCTCTTGAGGTAGCTTAGCAATTATTGCTTTTTCTCCAGCAGACATGCTTTCTGGAGTACTTTCTGATGTTGTCTTAATTATATAAGCTGTAACTGCTTGTGCTTTCTCAGTAACACCATGATCAGCTAGAGAAGACAGTTCATAACACTGTGTTTCTTGGCAGGTAAACAATTCTTCTGTAGGAGTAGCTTTCAAACTCCTCATGTTATCTCTTTTTCCCCTCATGTCTTTATAATCTTCTTGTTCTTTCACCTGCTCTGTTATATTTGCCTTACTCCTTCTTTCTTTCCCCTCACTTTCCGGAACATTCCAATTTCGTTTATGCAATGTGTTCTTATTCTGATCTTCAGGATTAATCCAATCTGATTGTTTTCCTTCAACTTGGAAAAGATAATCATCCTTCAAAACATTCCCATTTCTTGGTGAACCAACTTGACTACTTATCCCTTCTAAAGTGGTGCCTTTGCCAGGTGACAGATATCTCTGTGGAGATGTTAACACAGCTTCATCCCAATTTTCATTTGTCCTTGGTGAGGGAAGTGTATCTGCTGTGATCGCCCAGGTGGAAATTGCAGTATCTTTGTTTGACAGAGCAGTTAGGTCTCTGTTACTAGCTTTAGTTCCTTCCACACTTATTTCAGAGTGGCCCATTTTTCTTTCTTGGTCATATAAGATTGATTGAAACTTTTTGTTTCGTTTTTTGTTAACACCTAAGCATATTCTTTGCTCCTTTCCATCTTTACCCTTGCCATAATCTTCCTTGGAGGATCCATTTTCTGCTTCTTCCAGATACGTGGTTACATCTGAATGGAAATCTCTTCTTAAACCTTCCCAATCTTTTACTTTAATTTTCTCAGTTCCTCCTTCATAATTCTTATTAAGACCTCCTGCTGTTAGTTGATCTGAGGAGGGATGTGATATTTGCACTCGACTGCTTCCTCGGGCTGGATTAGCATTATCATCCAGGACTTGCTTGCTGCTGATGTGTAATTGCACTAATTCGTCACTACAAGAATCTCCCAATGATGGCTTGATCCCTCCTACATCTGAAGCAATTTCCTCTGAAGGTTGATGACTACACTCATTTCCTGAAGAATATTTTTCAGGGTGGTAAAAATCTCCCTTTGAGGAGCTTTCTGGTGATAAACTTGGAGACAAAGGCCTTTTGTACAAGTTAGTGCATATTTCACCGTGGATTTCCTTCTTCTCTAACCCTTCAGCTTTATTTGGAAAATTGTCTGAATTTGTTGGAAGTATATTCTTTTCATCTCTGGAAGCAGCACTTCTAGTTATTAAGTGCTGATTTATCTTTTGGGATAAAAACAATAGAAAATAATGACCATATGATCTTTTAAAATATATAGAATGCATTTGATAGGTTTTATTAACTCTAATTATCTGGGAGATTTCCTTAACTCATTCCATTTGTGGATTTCATACAAATTCTGGAAGCTGGATGTTTTGGGGAGATCCTTGCAGGCTATGACTTGGGAATGAGATTAGTAAGAAAAGGGGCCCAAATTAATCATTCTTCTTCCCAGCTTCCAAATATCACATTGTATTATTCAACTATTCTCGCTTGTCATCGCTCTTTCTCCTCACTTAGGATATACACATTGATAGCTCCATGCTAATCAATTAGAAAGCAGCTTCCTGGGTGCCCCTTGCTGCATTTACACTTGCTGCAGAGGTGCCCCCATTACAGTTTCTCTTATTAATATGTTTTCTGCAAAGCTTCTGCAAACTATTAATAGCAAAACGTCACTCAAAGAAAAGTGAGGGAGTTAATGTCTCTGCAAATTCTGTTTTAATGACCCTCTGCCAACTGGTACTCAAATGTATTTGAGCTCTTCAGTGATGCCAACTGTCAGGATTTAACAGTGAGATGCCTGTGTTTTTTTTTTTCTCCTCATAACTGACATTTGCATGATCTCAATAATTATATGCAAATCTTACGTTTTCCCCTTCTTCTCACATAAGGCTCATGTTACTTGTCAACTGCACAGCTGTCTTGTAAGCCAATGCCTGTGGGTTCCACAGATTTGGTTGTATTTCCATCTATTATAGAGCTTCATTGTTTTATGCATTAACATCAGCATGGAGCAAATTAGCATCTAAATTACAGCTCCCGTTCATTTATTGGATGTACAATCTCAGTAACTTCTAAACAAACTTTTATATTTGAGCCTGCTCATTGTAATGAGGTATATTGGTGAAGTATGTGATTTTTCAGGGCCCTTTCATTATATTCTGTGGTTTGAAAAAAAGTGCGATGTTAACTTTCAGCTGGTGAGAATTCTCACAATGGGTGACAACTTTGTAGTTTCTTAAAGTTGGAGCAAAGTAAATTGCATACTTTAGTGATGCAGTTGCCACATCACTATAGAGAAGGTGAAATATGTGGGGAAGGAGGTGAGCTCCATTTCTTTTCTGTTTCAGCACTGACACTTGAAGAAGCAAATGTCATTTTAATCTTAGATGATTACGAATCCATGTATCCCAATGATATGAACTCCAACCAAATGCAATAAAGTTTAAATTGCATTATGTGACTCATTTATTTCTATTTCTTCCTTTGTGTTAAAAGTGCTACCTAAACCTTCCCCCCCCACAAAATTCAAAATAAATTGAATGTTCACCAAGTATGAAACGTATGGTAACAAATTTAATAATAAATTGTACAGTACTGAATTTGTTTCCTGTTTAAAAAATTATGGCATGAGCTATTTTCTTTTCACTCAATAATATATTTTACAATGATCTAGAATTTTTGAGATTCTCACAAGGATGAAAGTAAAACAAAATCCCTCTAAACTCAAGAATTATAGACTTGCTGAGTTAGACAGGAAGGACTCTAACAATAATCTAGTTCAGCCCTCTCATTTTACAGATGAGTTTATGCTAAGTGTACACTTGTCATAAAGATTAGAAATGCACATCAGGATAGCACTACCTCTCTTGTAATTCCTACAAACTATTACTCAGAGCCACGGGTAAAGAGATAAGAAATGAATGTCATTAATTTACCACTGAAGAGACCAGAAGCAACACACTGAAATCAAAGTGCCTTGTTGATCAAGCTAGGGATGCAAGGACAAACGAGACTATGCTTTCACATTTGCAAATTATATTAGTTGAAGCTACTGAAAGGCAGGGATTACAGCATCTTTGAAGCATAAATGGATTCATCTTTTCTAATACCATAGCCACCAGAATACTTACAGTCAAGTCTAATTCTTTTTCATTATGTTCGTCATGTTCCTTATTCACATCTTTTACATTTTGATCGCTGCCTTCCAAGTCTTCCTTGTCTTCATGAGAACAAATGATTGTTGGGATATAGGTATCTGAAAAGTTAATAAAATTTTACCTCTGTAAGATTCTTTTAATTGTAGACTTTTAAACTAAACATTGTTTAAAAATTAAATAAGAAGTATTACCTGCAATTTTTGCATTCTCCAAATTATCCTTTTCTGATGGTAGTGATGAGTCTTCTTTACTGTAAAAATTAAAATAAGGTGTTATATATTTGTTCTGAACTACATATTTTAAGCATTTTTAGATAGGGGGAAATTCAAGTCAATAATGAGCCAAATAAACCTTATTTATCCTTTCATATTTTCTTCTTTTACTCTGTATATTTTAAAGCAAATTTGATCCTTTAGAATGATGTAGATACTATTGGCTGTAGAAAAATTTTAATGATTCATACAGTGCCATATTTAAATATGAGATTATATTGCTCACATTAAAACTTATGTAAGAAAAGGAAAAATACATGTAAATGTAGACTAGTCTATTATTCACAAATTTAATCTTTGAAAGTGACAACTTTTTTTGTTTAAATGATAAAGTTTTATGAGCTGATAGTCCACTTGTGATCATTAAATGGCTTTCTAATGTTGTAATTATTATTTTTGGTATTTCAGTTTACTTAAAATTCTTTCTGTTGAAATAATATAACATTAATTCTTTCTTCAGAAAAGGAGGAAAAACAAGCCAACCAAAACCCAAAGCTAAATTTATGCTCAGCCAAAAGATTTCATATGTGAATTGTCACTGGCCAATTTTATAAGCAAGACTTCAGATCGCTCAAATGCAAGCATATATCTTCTTTAAAATTCCATTTCCAGTGGATTCTGCATTCTCATTGCAAAAGATAAACATCTCTTTCTTTCAAATGCAATCTTTGTAGGTGGATTTGTGGCATCTTTAGTATTTAGGTTTTTTCATGACACTCAGTAGGAAAAATATTGTTAGCAAAAATACCCACTGTGCATAGTTATATTGCATGTCAATTAAGCAGAAATATTTGGCCCAGTTTTCAGATTTCCTTGTACTGTCTCAGCTGAATTTCCTTCTAGTGACATTCCTTAATGACTTTTCTGCAACAAACGAAATCTGAAAATTTGGCAATGGCTGATAAATTTGTATAATAGAGTCTATTGCACAGGAAAAATGAAAAAAAAAAATCCTAGAAAGACCAATTTAATTTCAACAAATAATTAGAAATTTGCAAATTCTTTCACTCTGACTATGTTAGAAGGTAATTCAGTTTTGTATATATTCATAATGTTTTGTAAATTTTACTAAAAACATTCAGCACTGTCAGTGGGCACACAGGTGAAAATAATGTTCTAATGAATATAATTTCATGGAAAATATAGTTTGCATAATTGATATTGGTTTAATCTATAAATTTATTTTGTTTAATGAGACCTATAACTATGCAAAGATTTATTTTTATGGAATACAAGTACAAGCTAATAAATCTTTTATTTTCCAAGTGCATAATGTCTAGATGTTTAAGATATATAAACCACTTAAGCAACATTTAATTTTTCCTATCTCATCTTTATTCTCAAAACATTACTGAGAATTTTATTTGTAGAGAAAAAAATCATACCCCTTCAAAGCCTTTTGTTTTTATTTAGTCAAAATACAATGATTTTTCTAATTCAATTTTTAAAAATACTTCAATTTTTAAATAAATGATTGAATCAAATAGAAACTTTTTTGACTCATTTTTGGGACAGTCGATTAGGTATTTAGTGTGCTTTATTGTGACTGTGTCTTACAAAAGTGTAATAAATGCAGAGAGATGAGGAAGAGCTTTGCATTCAGAGATATATACAAGGAAGAAGAGTAGAACTAAATGAAATTCAAATATTATATCAAATACATAGGAACAAAAAGTAACAGAACATTTGCAAAATTCCTAAAGAGAAAAGAATAAAATTATATCAAGCAATATTTAAAAAGATCTAGAAAGCCCGAGAACTGTATCGTGTTCATAGATAAGAAGGAAATATTATGGTATTAATTCTCTTCGACATTGATCTACACATTCAACTCAATTCTAGTCAAAACTATAAAATCATTCTTCTCCAAATTTGAACATAAGATTCTACAGAGAAAAATGAAGAGTCAATGATAGCAGGAATATTTCTGAGAAAAAGCAGAGAGAGGAGGCATTGCCTTAGCTAATTATAAGAGTTCTTATGAAGACTTAGCTATGAAGACAGTGTTGTTATATTGGTAAGGGACAGATAAAGTGAACAATGAAACAGGGCTGAGAGCTTAGTGACTGAATAATGCACATCTAGAACTGGGGCAAATTAACATGTCAGAAAATAGGAAAATAAAGGACTTCTCAGAAAGAGAGCTGGGAGAATAGTGACCCATACGGGGAAAGGTGAACATAGTACATGTTTAGAAACAACTCCGGATAGATTCAAGCCGGAGTGTCAAAAACCTTGAAACTCTTAGTAGAAAATATCCACGATACCTTTCAAAACCCAGATTAGGAAGTGTTTCCTTAAATAAGTGAAAAGAAAACACACACTATGGACATTAGTCAGTTAAGTCTATTAAAATTTAAAACTTCTTCATTAAAAATTCCATACAAACAGAAATTGTGAACTGGGAGAAGATGCTTGCATTACAGAAAATCAACAAAATAAGAACTGAGAATACATAAGAAACTACTATAACTCAATAAGGAAATGGAAGTAATCCATTTGATGGGGAGAAGGAAGACAAAAAAAAAATCAAAGGAACACATGATCAACAAGCACATAAAGAGATAACAGAAAAATGAAAATCAAAACCTCAAGTGATAGCATGTATGCTCCCTGAATTGGTAAAATTTTAAAAGCTTATTGGTACCAAAAGTGCAGGATGAATCAGAGCTACAGGCTTTCTTGTCCATTGCTGCTGGGAAAATAAACAGCAAAAACAACTTTGAAAAACAGTTTGAAGCATTCTTTTCTAAAATTTAACATTCATATAATCCATAACCACTACATCTGCTCCTGGACATACTCTGAAGATAAATTCTAAAACATACCATCTGAGACAGTTACAGGAAAATGTGTGATGGCACTGTTACACTTTTAACTAACGGATATGACCATTAACAGAAGAGCAAATACAAAACTATGAAATATTATGTAGCACTCAAAATTAACAAATCAAGGGGGCGTACAATACAGATAAATCTTAGAAATCTAACATGAAATGAATGGTATTAAGTTATTCTATCAAAGGAGATTTTTTAAATAAAGCTATATATTCTTTTTAATAAAGCTAAAATAATATAAATATGTGTATATACCAAAGAATAAAGAGATTATAATAAAAAATTTATAGGAAAAAGAGCTTAATTTTTAGGATTATACTTACATGAAGTGGGACTAGTTAAGGGGAAGCCATCAGTACTGGAAATGACTAAACATCATTTATTTCTTTGGGTGATTGTATTTCAGGGGATTATTACACTATTTAAAATACAAGTAGTTCAATGGTAGTTTGAGATAATTTATGAAGACAAGTAGGTTGTTCTCTAGTTTATACTGCAGGATGCTATAACTAAGAGACAAGTCTGAAATTCAAAGTAGAGTCATACCACCATTACATCTAAAGAGATTAAATAGATTTAGAAAATTTGAAAAAGAAGACAAAAAACTTGGTTGTTTAGAATAGTGTCCAGAACTACATATGATTTTATGATGTAAGTCAATGAATTTTTAAAAATATTTCTCACATCCTCTTATAGTCTTTGGATCCATTTTGATCAGGAGATATTCTTATATTTCTGGATTTCCAGTGATTAACAGTGCTTGGCACAAACTAGGTGCAGTAAGAGCTGCTGATTGAGCGCACACCATCCTTCTACTGCTCCTTTTTCCTTTCTATGTCTTGCCAACATTATCATGACATTGTTCCCCTCTTCTTTCCACATTAAAATCTAATTTTGGAAATGGATCTAATAATTTAAAGCATGTACATTTTCACATGCCTTCTAAGACTTAAAGTATGACCCCTTCCAAAGTTCAGGACAATGCTTTTAATTCTGTGGTCAAATGATTAAACACAATTTTTAAATTGTTTTAAATTTAGAAATATAAGTACAAAGGATATATATTTTGGGAGCAACAGTTCATTTCCAGTGCACCTTAAATCGTATAATATAGTTCTCTAAAATATTTAATCATAAGAGGGGCCATTCATTCTTGTAATAGATATTTTGAGATCTGCTATGCATCATCAACTATAATAAGCACTGGGAATCAAAGATGAATAATCTCTAAATTCTTACCTCAAGGAAAGATACATCACCAGGCTCTTGTAATCATTTTAATAAGTTATAAATGTTATAACAAATGAGATATGATAGCTACCTCCTTAAAGATAAGAAGACAAAATAGACACTGTCAGGAAAGTTAGGGAATTTTTCACAAAGTGAGAAACACTCTGAGTTAGCTTTTAGGGACAAGCAAGAGATTTTCATTTAGAAGAGAATGACAAGGAAACAGCAGGTGGTCAAAGATGAGGGTTTGGAGGAAGAAAATCCGGGACTCAACTGGAGGTAGTTGAGTTAAACTGTAAAGGATTGAGCCAAGCAAAATGACTGAATTCTTTACTTTTTAACCAGCAGAGTAGGGGTCAAAGAGATTAAATGGGAGACAGACATGACTGATTTACTTTTAAAGAACTTGTCTCTGGAAGTAATGTAAAGGTGGATGGAGGATGGATGGGCCACAGAGAAGCAAGAAGACCAGTTCTGAGTCTCCTCAACACTACAGGCACAAAATGATGAGGGTTATGGATGTTGATAGTAAGAACCAGATATAAGTCAGAACGTTTTTTGAGGGGTGGGGCATTACTGGACCTTGAACACCCAGACTCATGCTTGCTAGGCAGGCCCTCTACCACTTAAGCAACTATGCCAGCCAGTTTTTGTGTTGGATATTTTCAAGATAGGGTCTCCCAAACTATTTGCCTGGGCTGACTTCCAACCGCAATCCTCCTGATCTATGCTTCTGAGGTAGCTAAATTTATAGGTGTGATCCACTGGTAATTTAAGTTACAAATTTTGATGTTGCATCAGTATAACATGCTGATCAGTTTCCTGTAAATAGATTATTTTTAATGCCTTTCTCTACCTAAACTTGGTCACTTTTTTGAATATTAGAAATCTACAGTGGAGTGAATACC